TTTAATTGTTCAAACTTGATTCGTATATGAAAAAAAAATTAGCTTGCTTGATATCAATGCCCGTACCCAGGGGATTTTCTGTGCAAGATCTGAAATTCTTTATTTCTTACCTAAGTTGATTCTCAGATCTGAAATTTTTAAATTCAGATCTTGATAAAATTTTACAAAATTCAGATCTGAAATTTGGATCTGAGATGAACAATTTCAGATCTGAAATAACCTTGAAAAACAAAATTTCAGATCTGAAATCAGATCTGATAAACCTTTTATTAAATTACAATCTATGCATTTCCAGCAAACTTATTTTTTTTTGATGTTTCTGCAAAACACAGTTATGTTTAGATTAACTAGCGGTCAGAAAAACTTCCGAAAATTTTCACAAACAGTTTTTTTTGAACTAAATTTCTTGTTCAACTGTATCAAAAAGTTGTAATATTTTTAAATTTCATGCGCCACTTATGCGTTTCCAATGTTTACCTCATGATTGGGGAAACACTTCGGCAGTCTCCAACTTGAGACTTTGTTGAATACCTGCTAGTAGCTAGCAGAAGCTAAAACAATCAAAAATAGTAAAAACTAAACTTAATCATTGATTTTTCAGATCTGAAATATCCAAGAAAAAACGAAACTTCAGATCGGAAGTTACATCTGAAATAACCAATCCTTAAATTATCCAATCGTTATTTAAACATTTCACAACCTGTTTCAGATCTGAAATTTAGATCTGAAAAAAATTTTCAGATCTATTTTAGAAAGTTTACTGGGTACGGGTGTGGAACATTTTTGGGGTGCGGGATAATTTGCCACGCGTAAATGATTTGCGTTACATTTCAGCATCAAAGTATAAAACGAGCAGTTTAGTAGACTCGTTTCAGACTGTCAGGTTAATATTGCGGTGTACGCACTGGTCGGGTACCATGTACAACACAAGGTCCAGCCCCCGAGAACAAATGCTTATTTTGAAAATTGATCTAAATAAAAAAAGTCTCTCCAAGTATGTATATTTTTCAATTTCTTCGAAAATCGGTACGAATAGAACAACTAGAACGGCTTCATTCAATTTGAAACGAATCAGAACAAATCGCCGCTGAGTCAGCACGAATAGTATCGAATGTTAATTTTCTCAAATTGGTCGCTTATGAAACTGAATCTCTCCCACTTGAGGCTTTTGAGCGCAACCCTAGCTGCAGCCTGACTCAGGAGTGACATCATCCAGGGTTGGGTCTGGAAAACGTTCTATTGGTTCTGGATACTGGACTGGTATGCTTGTGAAATCATCCAGAGCCCAGAATGCCAAATAGATTGGCAGCACCATTCTGGCCTGCTCATCGTTTGGCGTCCGTAACCCGAGAATTTCGGTACCAAAAAACCTTGCTCTTGGTCCAGCAGTCACCACAGCCTCTGTTGCTAACTATCTCAGGCTATTCTCCATCCTTTCTTTAGGCCATGTCAATTACCGTCAGCTGATGATTTGTAACTGCAAACCAAAAAAAATGGCCCACCTAGTGGCACCAATGTGAATTTCGTAGATTTTCCCACTAATTGCTTTGATATAAACATTGCTTTGAAGTGTTTGCTCAGTTAAGCTGTTCTTAACCCCATTTTTCAGCGCATTAAGAAACCACGGATCCTTCAACTTTTCGATTTTCGATTTACTTTCCGTTGGATATTTTTATCTGTTTTTCACAAGTAGGTTGCTCTGATCTTGTTTCCATGGATTGGGCCTGAGAAATTGGCTACCTTCGGCAATTCATTTTTTGGGGGGTCTTAGGCCCTAAAACATTACGATCAATTGAAAGTTACGACAGGGGTCACCAGGGGTCAGTCTTCTACATTCTGGTGATGTAGTTTTTAGGAGTCTTACCTTTTTCTATGAATTTCAACCATACTTGATTAGTATTTCCCGATTCATCCACTTTCAAGCTCCATTGGTACCACTGGAAAGGTTTTGTTAATACCAGAAGGATCGCTAGGAGTATTTTTTTTTTCGGCTGTTATCTTGTGTATAACGCCTCTAAAAACAAACAAACTCATTATTTTGCTTGATTATTTTTTTCTGGTCGAGGTTGTTTTTACTCAGATGCTTAAAACTACCTTTTCAACCACCGGATTTCGTACAAATCACTGGGTGTATTTTGCCACGGCCTATCTCAACCCAAAGTTGCCAAACCTGTTTACTGCGGTTACTGGAGGCCGAGAAGTGGCTTCTTGTATTGAGTGGGAGGATTATTTACTTGTGAGATAAAAATATAAAACCGCAAGTAGCGGTCTCAGGGGTCTGGCGTTTCAAACTTCAGCATCTTTCAACGAGATATACAACGTTCTAATTTTTGGTCCCATTCCGCTAAATATTTATTTAAACTAGGGCGACTTGCACCTACTGGAACCTTTATCTTTTGGGCTAAGGCTGAACAAAAGGTACGGATTCTGACATTCCCTAATAAAATCATCTCTAGCAACCGTCCTATAAAATTAGCACTCTTTTAGGGGATTCCTGATTTAACTCTTCATAGGTTTTCTGCTACAAGTGGGACTAAATGTTTGGAGCAGGGGCTCTTTCGAGCTAGTGCTTTAGCTGCTGTACCTGCTTAGATTAATGGATAACCTTTAAAACTAGTTATGGCTTTGAAACACAAATGTGCAAAATCTGCCGTCTTCTCTCCGATATCTTTTTTGTCCCGAATTTTGATTGAAACAATTCTAACTTAACAACTCCTTCGGTTCCTTTTTTCCTTTTCCTTAAGATTTCCGTTTCCTTTTTACTTGTTAGCTTTAATATAATACTGATCCTTAAAATCTTAAAAACTAACCTAATTACCGTACCAGCTTTCAATCTTGTAAATGTGCAAGTAATTCTAACTAGTCTTCTGAATAAATAGCTCAAATGAGACCTCGGACATATCGGTCAGACCTCTTATGGTTTAAAAAAAACAATGGGCTAGAAAAATCTTAGTAAGTGGACATGAGTGATTTGAAAAACAC